GAATCAATCAATAATTAACTAGATTTAGATGAATATTGAAAGGAAAAATAGTAAACTTTATCAAATTTATCAAAAATAACATTAATTTATATTTGGCTTCCTATTTCTGATATTGATATTGAAAGAAGTTTTAGTAATTATAAGAATATTTTTAATGATAATAGATATGTATTAACAAATAAATCTATTGAAAGATTAAATTTTTTATATTTCAATTCTTAATTTAATTTTTTTATTTTTATTAGATTTTTTTTTTACTAATTTTTATTAATAAAAACTTATCAATTTTATTATAAAAATTTATAAAATTTATTCTTTAATACTAGTTTAAATATGGATAATTATTTTTGAAAATGAACCTAAAATTTTCTGGTGTGATCCTAAAATTTTATATTATATATGTATTGTTTAAAAGCTGTGTCTGAAAAAATCATATCTAGCATTTTTGTCACCTTAAAAAATGATTACTCATATATTAAATTTTTTATTACATTAATTAATAATAATCTAAGTTCTGTAAAAGGTTTGTAATTAGATTTGCACTTTTTTAAAATTAAAATTAATAAATTATATATAATAAAATTCTATCAATTTTAAATTTATTTAACTAAAACTTTAAATTATATTTTAATAAGTTATTATTAAACTATATGCTTAAATTTATTATGTAAAGAATCAAATAATTTATTAAATAATTTATCGTTTAAAAATATACGTAAAAAATATACGTAAATCGCGGTTTTCGCGATTTTTACGACTACGTGTCGATCACAATCACGTGATATGGTATTGTTAACATTACGTAAAGCCCATTGGCTAAACCAATTTCGCCACCCTAGTCGTGGTGTATAGTACCCCTCCCCACTTGTAATGGATATTTTAATGGTGCATATCTTTCTGGTTATTATGTACTTAATATATTTATTCGTGTATATTGATTGGAAGACCGGCAAGTATTCTACAGGGAGGGGGTACTATACACCACGACGTACGGTACTAAGCAATGGTGAGGAAGGAGTGAACCTATTCAAGTAACATCAGAATATCAACATGGCCATAACATATGAAGCGTCATACAAAAGGATGGTGAGATATGTTGTGTTGCCCTATTGAGCATAGGGCACTTGTTTAGTAATGTACCAACAATCTGAGATCTGAGCACATACTGTAGTTCATGTTATAAAAGTAGTCGCATCTTTGCTAAACATAGTTATTCGGATGAGATCGGTGCAAAGGAGGTAAAGTTTGTTGAAATCTTCTTGAACTTTCGCTTCGCCGTATCCTTTGCTCAGCCCCAAGACGATCGATCAACTTCTTTTTATAATGTTATCAGGTTGCTTGACCCTTCCTATTGGCTTTCTAGTCTCGGACCCGTCGCTTCTTTATTTTAACCTGTGACATTTAAATGGATTAGAAGATGTGTTGTATACATGGAAATACCAAGTTAAAGAACCTACCATCGCAGAAATACACCGCGATCAGGATTCATATGGAGCAATTCGAGAAATGGATCAATGTAAATGGCGCACAGCTCTACCTCTTCAATGAGGCTTTTTAACGTATCTCTTGCACTCTTTCAATACTAATAAAGACATGTTGGCATTTGACATTGTTCTAAAATTCATTATAATATTGCATGTTTCTCATGGTTTTCAAAATTGCATACTCTTCATAAGTACGAACTGCTGCAAGAATCAGCAGTTCCGAAAATGCGATGTCTCTTGTGATCCCCTCTCATTGCGGGCGCTGTAATAAAGGGAATTCATTGTTCTTTTTTCTCACATTGAATAGGAGTAAGAGGAGAAAGTATATACTGACAATGTGGATAAGATTTACCATTATTTCAGTATCAAGCTCTGTTTCTTGTTTATGAATCTTTGTATGACATTTTTGCGCGCATCATTTCTAACAACTCCAGCGCCAACATTAGTGGAAAATGTTGTTTAGACTTCAATAAAGAATATATGATAAGGACCTACATAATAATATAATTACATCACAACCAACATACAATATCTGTTATACGTATAAGGCTTTCCACAAGAAGACCTTCCCTCTTTATCAGTTCCAATGATTTTTAAGACATCTGTGTCATTTACAGGCCATCTAAACTCTTTTCGAGGTAAAGGACTCAATTGAGTCCCACAATATAATTAATCGTTGCTGAGCAGTTAGATTCAATCTCGGTACCTGACTCGTCAGGGGAGGTTGCCTGTGGTGATGGCGAAGTTCTGTCTCGATGTTGCCTCGTAAAAATTTCTCCCTCATTATAATTTATACATTGACTTTTTTTTCTCAGCTTTTATTGGATTTATTTGTCCCACTTCATTTATATAACCGTTGTTCCAATGTACGCTCCACGACAAATGTCATCTAGGAGATATCAGTTATTACTCATTTTAAAGCGAACCGGAAAAAATTTAAAAAAATACTTACATCTAACTTTTCGAGAACAGTTTCGTATTACTTTTTGTATATGAGAGATGGATTGACGGTCACCTATCGTTGTTGTCGACTGATATTCTTGAATGGATAGAATGGTTCGCGTCAAACACAAATGGATAATATAACGAACCGTTCAGATTGTTGAGTTGTTGTTGACGTACCAAGCCTACTTTACTCTAAACGAGCACTAGGCTGCAAGAGTATCATAGCATATCTCGAGCCGGTCGTTACTATTACACTCAAAGTTCTCAAATATGTATTATGTTTATTGTTTATTGCCTGTCCAATTTATCTTCATTTTGTTGTCCAATCATCTTCATTTGTTTATTGCTTGTCCAATTATCTTCATTCTGTCTGAAATTGAGAACGCGTCCAACAAAATAAACGGAGATCGTGACAGACATCAATGTCACGTGTTATGCTGTGCAAAGTGAGTAAGTTTCTCGTGGAATTTAACTCAACCTGATTTTGCGGAAAAAGTTCTTACTCGTTGAATCCAATCACATCTGATATGACGAAAAGATGACGAATTTTCCGAGCCACTGGCACCGTTCGGATTTATCAGGTCGATTTCGTATGAAATTCAAAATTCAGCACTCGACATCTACTTTTAATACAGTACGAAGAATAATTTTTCAAGCACGCAAACAAAATAAAGATTTCCGTAGTCTTGCGCTATTTTGAATTTTAGAAATTTTTGTTTAAAAACAATATACCTATACAGTACATCATGTGATTGAATCGATATACAGTATATATGAATTTAACGATATCAATCAAATCAATCAATCAATCAATCAATCAATAATTTAAAATAATATAAATATAAATACACATTTTCAGTTCATGCCCCATTTACAATGATCTATTTTTTTTTTTTTTCAAAGCAAAAATAAATTTCAATGACAAGTTAAAAAAAAAAGAAAAAGAAAAAAAGGTTTTCCCTTTCTTTTATTTTACTTATAAAATCTTATTTTGTGTGATGTGAGATGTAAATGAAGTACTTGCTGTACAGTGGGTGTAAATATGTTGGATGTGCTTTTATTATACATCTATATCAATTATCTATGATCAAGATGTTTTTCAATTGATATAAAACGGGTAAAAAAAAAAAGGGGGGATTTGTTTTCATCTCTTAAACAAGGTGCTCTCTATCATACAATGTATTTCCATAATATGACACGACATGTGTAATGAATTTAAAATAAGCAGATCGATCTAAATTCAATTGATAATACATTATACTGTATAGGATATAAGGTTTTTATATATTATTGAACTTTGTCATAATACATCTTTGTGAATGATCCTTCTCACAAGCGGTTCACACCCACACACACCCACACACCCACACGAAATCGTATTGGGTCATGTGATAAGTACATTCGCCTATCGGATTCTATCGGAGTATCCATGCATGATATTGTCAATTTAAAGATATATTTTTGGTCGCATTTTTACCTCACAATCATTGATCAAGTTATAAAGAGAAAGTTTTTTGATAGAAAGGGTTGATCGATGCATTATGAAACGAGTAGTTAGTCAGATGACGCTAGAATAATGAATGGAAAACAAAAACGCAGTGTTCAATAAGCATAGTAATTGCCGTATTAATTAAAAGGGAACTGATTAGCAATGCGAAACCATTTTTATAATTGAATTCCGAACTATTACGTGGCGCACCGTAAACAAACAGTGGTTTTCTACCAAACCAGGAGAATTTTCTGCATTCGACAATAGAAATTTCACAAGTTTATCGAGATTTTGAATGCCCTCACTACTCTGTACAACAAATCGTCTGAGGGTTCCGACCGCAACACTCTTTGCAATTCACACGTTGCAAGACAGATTATTGACTAGTCGGATGTATCACAACACGACGAAAAAATGGTGATTTTTTTTTTTTCAATGGTATCAATGACACTTTAAACGCATTTAGGACTAAGAAGCCCCTGAACCCTATTTGTCAAATATTTAAATTATACGCATATTTTCCCTGCGTCCAACTCAATTAGTTGTTGATCATAAGATTATACTGTATTAGTCAGTGGTTCCAATTAAGTGCATCTGTTTTAGTAGGAACTTTTTTTTTTGGTCATGAGCATGACGAGAATGATGTGAGGTCATTCGTACCGGTGTTTAATAAAAATGATTCGTAGGATGCCAACGTTTTTGCTACTTCCGAGTATAAATACGATAGAAACGTTCGCCTCCTCGGTTTCATTGATCAATCAAATTAAACTCTGTTTTTCAAGCAAGCAAGCAAGTTACATCGCGCAAAAAAATGGAAAGAAGTTCTTCGAGTAAAAGATGGAAAAAAGATGTAAGAAGAAGAAGAAGAAGATAGCTATCTATTATTATTATTATTACTATTATTATTATTATTATTACTATTATTATTATTATTATTATTATTATTACTATTATTATTATTATTATTTTATTATTATTATTATTATTTTATTATTATTATTATTTTATTATTATTATTATTATTTTATTATTCATTTTCAAAACGAGTTACCTACTTCCTTTAACCGTGATTTCTATTCAGGATGAGGAAAAACTACGAGAAATCATTAAACGGGAACGCGCCAACAAGAAGGAAGAAGACCGGATGGATTGGAAGTATATTTCAAAAGAGTTTGGCAACAGTAAGGAGATTAAATCACTACAAGAAAAGTTAGTTTGTGTCATCAAAGAGTTTTGTTGTTTTTGTCACAACAGCATTCGATAAGCCTTTATGCGCTAACCACATCTCATTCATACACTAGGTACAGGAATTACCTGAAAAAAGAAGGTACAGTACGTGTAAATCGCAAAGCGGCATAAATCCATCGAAAAAATTCCAACTGACCACATTTCATCATTCACGCAGTGTGGCTTCCGTATGGAAATGGAAAGAGACAGATCCCTTTTACTAGCGACCACGTTACCTTAATAATGAACGAAACGTGGAAAAACGTCGATAATAAAAATCGTTGGCGTAGAATAGCAAACATAATCAACAAACAATTCCCCTTGCAGGTTGACTGCACACCCAATCAGGTTAAAAACAAGTATAACACCACGTTCCGAAAACTTCGTAGGCTATCTAATTTCGCGATATTCTGATAACGTCCAATCCCTATTTGAGATCGCTAACCCCATGATACTTTTTAGGCGCCAATCGAATGAACATTGCCTTTGTGATTAACTAAAGATCAACTCCTGGCGAGTCCTTTTTCTCGCAACGAAAACGTCACGAAAAAAATTTTTTGATTCTCAAGGAAATTTGACTGTACGTTGTCTTGAGATGAGGTCTTAATTTATCTTTGTCAGATGTCTTCATGATTTTTTTACTCAAATAAAATCAATATAGCATTCACTCATTCATTAATGGATAGATACGAGGTTTAATTTCTCGTGGACAGACATTTTCTCATAGATAGATACTGTAGACGCAAGGCTCACATTCTCATAGATTGACACACGGTTCACTTATTTTATTTTATTTTATTTTTCATCATGGACACAGACTCATGTTTTTTTTAATGCATAATTTTTAATAAAACGTTTCTCAAATGATTACATAAATATAACCAACCTAGCACCCTGCATACCCTGCACAACGTAATTCGGTCCCTGCATGGGAGCGGAATAATTTCTCACCAGAATTCATAAAGATTCTTTGTTTTCCACAAAGTCGAAACAATAGCGCACGGATTAATTCATCATTTATTGACACCGGATCAACTGTAAACCATGATTAAGGTGAAGCGATCAACACGTTCGTAGTGGAGAAATTAAAGTTGGATGTTGCCTATCAGGAAATATTGAATGTCGGTCTCGACATTAATCCGCGTGCAAACGTGTATTCGTGATGATATCCTATTCTCACGACATTGATCCTTAATAACGAAAAAAAGGACTATCGTGGAAATCTGTTACGCTAAATTATTCCTAAAACGACGGGGCGGAAATTTTTTCCTTTATGAACGGTTCAAAAAAACTTTAAACAAGATATTTTCCAATTCAACAAATCGTCTTACTAAGGACGCCAGCAACGCACGTGCAATGTTATCGCCGAGAATCCAAATTCATATGCTGGGTCATGCAAGGGATTCTATCTCGGTCATCTGGAGAGAAATAAAAAAAAACAAAAGATTTCTAATTTGAATGTTTATCAGGTGGTTGGGCTGTATTATGCATGGTTGTGCATCGAAGTTATTCGACCATTCACAAAATGTATTACCACTCTTCTGGACACAAGATTTAAGCTGAACGGTCGAAATTTACTATCTATTTTTATTACTACGTTTAGACGTTTGCAAAGAGAAACCATGCCGGTCTGTATCCGCATTGTTTTACACAATAAACAATGGTGGTCAGGCGTCATTAAAATGTTTCAGATTTAAGCCGGGATACACCATGCGTAATTGATATTTGGAAAGAGCTCCTTGGCTCCATTCACGCGTGCCATCTTTGGAATGTGGTAATTATTATTATAAGTGATGACGGGATGACGGGATATTATAAATACAGTCAGTACCTGATCAAAAAACGATAAAGGCTAATGAAAAAAAAAAGCAGATTTATTGCGAGCTACAATATTCTCTCTTTTATACATAGTTAACGATTTACAACTTCCTTCTTTTTTATTATCATAACTGTTGTGCCGAGAGCATTCTGTCCTTCTTTTTTATTATCATAACTATTGTGCCGAGAGCATTCTGTCCTTCTTTTTTACACACCACGTAAAATGGATATGACTCAAGCCAAAATCGAACAAGTTTCGCGAAGCATAGAGGTATTGCATATACATACGATGGATGATGTGTGTCAGAAGGATGGCAACGTGGCTAGAGAAACCGCCGAACAAACTACCAATGCGGATATGGCGAGAGTCAATGTTAAAAAAGGTCGATGGAAAAGTGAGGTACGAACAGTGCGATGGACTATGATAAAGTGTCATAATGCTCGTTTCACTAATCTGATGATTTGAATGCAAAAGGAGGACAACGAACTTAAAGAGATCGTCAAACCAATGTCACGAATCATTTCCTGGAAATTTGTCAGCGAAAAGATGGGAGGGAGACGCACCGCCAAACAATGCAGAGAAAGGTTTTTATATTAATTCATTCATTTTTACATAGATTTGTTACAGAATCTGATTCAAATGTGTCATTGTAGGTGGTGCAATCACCTTAGCGGTTCAAGTAAGCCATTATAATGTTGATTTATTGTGCTGTACATTTGCTTCCATCCATCCATCTGAACATAATTCGTTACCTATGGTTCACTAGTCAACAATACCAGACTTACCGAAGACGAAAAACACGAAATCCGTCTGCATCGTGAAAAAGGATATACCTACGCCAAGATATCCGCCAAGTTATTGCGACGAACTCCACTGCAAATAAAGAATTTCATTTATTCAGAGGAAACTCGGCCGAGTCCCAAAGCGCGGGTCAATAAAATGGCGATTGAAAGTTTGTTGTCAAGCCAGAGAACCGACGACCATCACGCCAACGATAAGACGGCGATTGGGATGTTGCCAGAACAGAGAACCCGCAACGATCACATCAACGATAAGATGGCAATTGAGGGTTTACTGTCAGACCAGGAGACTTACCCAACTTATTAATCCTCACATTTTTTTCATATATTACCCATTTTCTCTTTATCAATAATATTTTATGGCAATTCGCAAGAAGTCTTGATCGATGCCTAATATCTTTCACACAATCGATCAGACCTGCGAGATTGGTTTATTCACTATTATTCACTATTATTCTATTTATCTATTTAATTAATTTATTTATTTTATTTGTTTGTTTATTTATTAGCTTCTTAATATATTATAGCGATAGAGACACTGTACATACAGTATCTATCATTAATTGCAATGCGTGAATCTACAAGGCGCGCTCATCAATCCCAAGTTATTACTGTATCATTGTTCTTCGGCGATGAATGAATGAATGAATGAATTAATTAAAGGCCGCGCTGTCCCCGATGTTCTTCTAACACCGTGTCAAGATGACCATTGTCACCGGATCGAAATTTCAAATTCCCATCGCCATTGTTTCGATGCGTCATTTTGTTTCCTAATTAATTTCCGTGTTAATTAATGCTTTTAAAGAATTCCGCATTTATTTTCATTCATTTTTTAAATGCATAATGAATGAAACCAATAAACATGTACTGAATATAATGTACCGTTTAAAATTATACATTCTTACGCAAAATTATGAATACGTATGCTTTATAATTTTCCTAAAAAAAAAGATTATTATTATTGTTGTTGTTTTTTAAAACAAACAAATGATGCACGAGTATAAAAAATAGAATGCGAACAAGAATAATATTATTTATTATTTTGTCTAGCGGCATTCAAAAAGAGAAATGATTAAAGAAATAGAAAGAAAGAATCAAAAAGTAAAAAAGTAAACCGAGATGTCTCCTTTTTTTTTTTTTTTTTTGACAGATAATGTAACCGAATATTTACTTTTTTATTTCATTTTACTTTTTCATTTTACTTTTTTATTTTGGTACGAGTACATGAAATCGCATTCAAAAGTTATGCTTAGATTTTTTATGGGCAGTTTAATTGAATTTCATCATAATCAATTAATTGTTTATCATCGGTTTATTATTATTAAATCATAGATTAAATCGTAGATGCGTACGAATGTGTAATGGAACACGCGCGTTAGACAAATTTCCTATGGAATTTTATTTTAGGCTCAAATTAGAATTACATATTAATGATTATTAAGAATATTACCGTAATTTTCGTCAGATGGTACCCACCTTGTTAAAATAAAATACCCACCACCACTTTCTTTATATTAAATTTTTGCCCGGGAACGTAAGAAATGTAAAGAGACCCAGGGTACCATGTGCGACAAATTACGGTATTATTTGTTGCTGGAATTATTTCATAATTATCATTACAAGTTTACACGGCTAAGTTTATCTAACTATGTAAAATACAAAAAACTTTTTCTTCTAGGTGGATTGTTTTTTTTTCTTATAATAACGTTCAACGCAATTATATCATGAGACAAATGAGACAAATGCTGACGCCAGATTAGTCCTAATAACACGTCCCTAAAAAAAAGCATTTTCAAGATGTGATTAGGCACGGTGTTGGACTAATCTTGCGGAGTTAAACTACACTAATTTCTTTCTATAAAAGTCCGTGTAAATATCTTGAAAAGGTAACTTTCATGTGATCAGAACGGAGCTAAAATGACAGGTTCTTTTTTTTTTTCGCAAAACCAGCGGTAATTCGATTTTCCTGACACTCGCGGTCAACGTGCTGAGACATTTATGAACGCTCGTATGTTATCAATGTCCGTGCGCGTAAACGAGAAGGTTTCCCTAATTTAATAATCGCCTGATTGACATCTGTTCACTTACGGATGATTCGTGAGGGCTATTGGTGTCGCTGCTACCGTTACTACCGTTGCTATGTCGTCTAAATTCATTAAAAATCAATGAGCAAATAATTAATAATAATAATAATAAATAATAATGAATGATGATAATAATAATAATGCAAAGAAGAGTAAATTTTCAGAACAATAATAAACCTTTGACTGATTCCTGTAGCACATGTTTGAAGAAAACTAGATTAGCACGTCTCATTCGTTCTCTTCAAAGGTGCCAAACACAAAAAGGTAAAGGATAGGTTACCGGTGGTAGAAGGACGATGCTCAGCACCTCTGACGTTTCTCTTTAACTTTCTCTGATGATTGTTCCAATGATTCCTAATCATGACACCGGTAAACCTTTTTGATACACAGGAGGCAATCTTGGTCCATTGGGGTCCAAATAGCTCGTAAAAAGTCAAAATTTGTTTTGATTCTTCTGGTGTTATTCTGCGTCTATCAACTAAAAGGGATGTTAGAAACATGTGTTTGTTCGGTTTACGGCGTTCGTTACTACACCTACTCTGAGGATTTTGGTGGTTCTGATAACTGCATAAAAAGAATAGTTTCGCGTGCGTTGAATATATGTTTGCTTCGATTTGAAAATGCAACTCACACCGAAGACTTACTGTTCTCTTATCTGACGAGCACTGCGTGTCGGAAAGTGTTTGGCTATCTCATTCCAATTTGTCTTATATCTATTTACTAATTGCTCCAATAGAACCTTTTCCTTTTAAAAAAAAAAAAAAAGTCAACACCCTGGTATTCCACATGATAGGCTCACGATTCACATACTTGCGATGTCCAACGTCCGCTTTGCATAGCCATAAAGAATACTTGTAATTAATAAACAAACAAGGAAACGAGGGGGGAAGATGAAATTAAATATGGAATTATGTCAAAAAAAATTAATTTAAGGCTTAAATAATGACATCCTGTGGTGAGTGATAAAAAAAAGAGACGGGAGAGCAGTCTTTTTTTTGAAAGCATTCTTTTTATTTGTGATTATACACCATAAACACATGAAGTGTAACATAATCGTCGTAGTACAGATTACGTATATGTAATACGTAATACAGAGGTTGTTCCTCTTAATACGGGGGTTCAAGAGGTTTCCATTATGGTGAAATATGAAAGTTAAAGTTTTTCTATTGACAGGGAGCACCGTCTGATGTGCATTGCCTGAGGTACCTGGACGATTTCTATGCCTGGGAGCAGAGGTAGGCGTAAACAAAAAAAAAAAAAAAAAAAAATTCATTATCGCATGCCGGAAAGGGGTGTCCGCTGCACATTACAAAATAGTGAGTGGATTCCTGAATCCTCCGAATTATTTGGTTTCGGCAGCACCGAAAATAGAGTGAGCTGGAGTGAGACAAGCAAGTCAAAGCGAATGCGATAGATAGGCGAAATATATAATTCTAACGACATATTTTATGAGACATTTGCGACGATTGCTTCCTTCATCGATTCTGAATTACATACTGTACATATAAAAATGTCATTCCGTTAACATCCACACTGAAACATTTGGCATCATCTTCCAAACATGGATTACAGTGGCAGTACACAATATAAACCGTCCAGGCGTCATTTTAATACAGTGCGGTACACAGTATAAAACCGTCCAGGCGTCATTTTAATACAGTGTATAAAATCGTCCAAGCGTCATTTTGAATTCGGATTTTATTCTGAGATCGATGTGCAAATTGTATAAACATTTCTCATCAATATGAGCCCAAGATAGGTTAGCATTATTTTTAAAGCTCATTCACTCGCAGTTTCGTAACTAACGACACGACGAGAACGCGCAAACTGTAACATCAAAAGATCGAACGAGAATTTTTTTTTTTTTTTTTTTGTATTGTGTACCAAGGACAATGATGGTGAATGACGTACTTACGCATCAATAGCAACGAATTAGTGATATTGTCAAAACAAATAATGATCATTGTCATCACTGTGCTGCAGCATGTTATATACGTGCACCCGATTACAAGAGAGGTGTCTGTGCGAATATTTACCGATTTCCCTCCCCGCCTTCGATGTTGTATGCAAGATCGGGAATTGCGCAGGCCGGTAGGTTACCCAATACAATATCCAGTTTGAATACGGTGTTGTAAAGATAAGGATAATTAATTAATATTGATACAAGATCATGCGGGGTTCGAATAAGATACCTCGAACATGAATGCGTGGTCACAATAAATTGAGTTGAAGAATTGAACGTTTCGCTGACTTGATGGATTTCGTTATTCGCCGTGGGAATGTTTATATGTTCGTCCCTTTGATGGTTTAGGTTACCTTTGCAAAACAAATAAACAATCCGTTAATTTCTGCAGGGGGAGGGGAGTAAATAAAATACACAGGACTTTGCCTAAATGAGATTCATATAAGATTCACTTTAAGCCTAATCGGAGATAGGGGACGTCGCCTTGCCAATGGGCGTGACGAAAATCGTTAATCCTTTGCGACTTTCTCTATCATAATTAATGTCGATCAAGTGAGATAAGGAGAGAACTCGGTAAGGTTCCATCGGGTAACTTGTAATTTATATAACCCATCCTTGTGCATATCGGACAACAATGTTATTTCATCTGGAGGTCTCCGAAATAGTTAAAACCTCCGAAAACTACATGTATTTTGAATTTTATATAAATTAACAGATTAAATTAAACGATTTACGGATATTCAAGTTGCGCGAAATTCTTATTTATTCATCCTCTGACTTTCTTTCTTCTTTTTTAAACCGTTTTTTTTTTTTTTTTTTCAAAACCTTCAAAACCACCATTAATTACCTAACCATTAATTTACACGATAATTTGCGTCATCGAAACGCCCTCATTCCTAATCGGTCTATTAAAAACATAACCGAAACCAATCGAGCTGACACCTGTTCGCAAAATCGTGCCTCTGTATAATATTAATTCCACCTGGGGGGTGCGCTTAAATGATCGGGTCCGAACAGACATCCGAATTAAAAAAAGGGAGATGGCCAAAACATGTAAGCTGCTTAATCTGCATGTCGGAGTCACGAGATTCTCTTTGATCTCGACTAAACCTTGTTTTTTTTTCCTTTCCGAACGAAGGACAGTGATATGTTGGAACGTTTAGTCGAGAAATACGGAGAAGATTGGAAGAAAATCTCTGCAGAGATAAAAAATCGTACGTCCAAACAGTGTAGGGAAAGGTCGGTGATTTACCTTTGGTCGCTCATTCTCTCCGGTTTGCCACAAATCATTTGTTGTGCATGTACTATGTCATATATACAGTATTTATGTTTATATTTGTATTTAATTTAATTTAGATATAAAAATCACCTTAGACCATCCAGTAAGTTTTACTTGATTGCTTGTTTGCTAAGGTGAATTGATTTGTGTGGCGTTAAATCGTGTCATCCATTCATGAATTATACTGTAGTAATGAAACGCAAATTTACGCACCGCGAAGGAATTCACATAGCCCAAATGTTCCAACGAATGGGTCCAAAATGGGTCGAGATAGCTGATACTATGAACGGTTGTACTGGTCTGATGATAAAAAACTACTGTAACAACAACAAGAGAAAAGAGTTAAGGATTGGTGGAGGTGATGAAAATATTACGCTATTCTCCGGAAGAAATTTTTCGCATGGAAACTAATTAACCTCGTGATCAAAAACAGCCATTAGATCGCAAACTCCTCCGAGTATCAATGCCACTCCAGTAATATCAAATCACTCAGACCGAAGGTACGGTAATTTAAAAAAATCTTGTTACAATCGTCGTACATGCACATATTGATTTCAATAATTATCGCCAGCGTACAATCGGTCAAAGATAAGAATGAGAAAATGATGATCTGCTTCGTTCTTAACGAACTTTAGCGATCATTCTTTGTTTCAAGGATAAGCCCCCATCTCAATCGATGATATAACTTCCATTCTATTTACAATATTCAGCGGTTACTTTTGTCAATAGGAGATAGGTTATGGAGCTATGCATGAGAAATAATGCTAACGTATGCAAGACGCATTGATATTGTATCCGAGTTGACAAATGTAGCATACGTATAATGTCGTTACAAGGGGGGTTGGAACAATTATAACATATATATATATATATACAGTTTACCGACTTAAATTGGATTAAAACACGCTTAGCCAAACCTGAAAAGATATGCTGCTGGTGTACGTATATATGTACTGTATATTTTTTTTTTCTTTATTTTTTTCTTTCCACAAAGAAATGCGGAACTGTTTTGTTCTCCTCTAACTCCTTGCATGTAAACATGAAGTATGGTCACGGCAATGGTCTATAAGGAAGTGTACATAAGAAAGAGGATATCATAGACAGATATCGTGAGATCAATTATTGTTGTATTGTAGTTGATAGACACGCTCGACATGCTCCAGAAAGTTTTTCCATTTGACACTTTTTTACGCACAGAGCCGTGCGTTTTTGCGGTGCGTTTTTGTGATGCGGGACAACATTTTTTTCTTTGTAATTAACTTACCGACTAGGAAGTACAATTAGATGATATTATAATTTTCCCTTATTTTGGGGATGATGATATAATCGGCCGACGATCATGTACAAAAAGGTGCAACAAAAATTTCAATAGATTCTTTCGAAACTTTTTTTTTTTTTCCTTTCACCAGTGACCAAAAAGACATATGGGACGATGGTGATGTTCTTGTTAGAAGTACATTACAGAAAAAATAGAATTCCGAACAAATTACATAAGTTGCAATTTTCCTGGTCAGGAAACGAATTTACGATTTACTTTTTATTATTGTCTGTGATTTTCGAATGTGTTTGTGAAAAAAAAAAAAGAACGAATTTGTCAAAATAAAAAAGTAATAATACCGATTATTATTACTAATGATTAATGAAAAACATCGTGCGCGTGATTGAAGCACCATAGCGATAGTGCTCTGAGAAAATAAACACAAATTTTTGCAAGGTGTAAAATACGAAAATGTGGATTTTGCCAAGTGTAAAATACAAAAAATGCAGATTTTGCCAAGTGTAAAATAAAAAAAATGTAGAAATATGAAACTTGTGTGAAATTGGAAAAATATCACAAAGGAAAGAGATCCACACGACTACCAGAGTTGTGCCGAAAAGGTCGGTTGTAAGAGAATTTTTCCAAATGATTGTCCGAAATAATCGGATTTAGAAATTCGCACACATTGTGAACTATTGGTTTTCACGATCTAGGCCTCACGGGAAAAGTTGCTATAAATAAATGAAAAGTCTTAATAATTAAACATCGGATGAAATATCGACACAAATTACAAATGCTCACTTACTCAAATGCCTTAGATCGGATGACCATCTAAGGAAGAAACAAATTAATCTTTTTTTCCTAAATGTGCTTGAGACGTGAAGACATCAAGAAACGCTTACTTTTTACGACATTCACGAGCTGAACGTCTCATCTCTTCTCCGACCTTGCGGAAATCTCCACGATGTTCATTCAACAACTTAATCAAGAGCAGTACCTCCTGAAGGAATAAGAATAATACTTGGTGAACTTGGTGTGTATATCATGGCTACTTCCCAGAGTTCAGCGATGAATGTCATACGCACCTGCTTGCACCACCCGTCCTTTACAAGCATTGGAAAATCGTAATCTATGTTTTGTTCGCTCATCTCGAAGTAAGGTTAAAGAAAATTGAAAGCGCGTGTCATAAAAAAAATCATAAAAAAGGGTAGAAAGTACGGGAAAGACGTTTGGTATGCTATATATAACCAAAATGTATATTGTATATACTGTACATATACTGTATATGCATGATTACGAAAGGATCCATTACTATACTTGTCTAAGAAAGTCCCGGTTAAATTTGTTTCCTGGGGGTGCCACACAATAACAAAAAAAAAGAGACACGAGGTGAAAAAATATTATTTTTTTCGAATCTTCTATGTTGATTTGTTTGAGTGTTTCATGCACCCATTTCTTTCGAACTTCTTATGTTTATTCACAAGTGTCATCTGTTCCTGTTGTCATTAATTAAAGATTTAATTCACCGATCCATTTACTTTCTATGAATTATAATTATAACTAACGGTTCCCGCAGAAAAAATTATTTTTGAAAATTTCCAAATGTATGTATGGGTGCTTCACGTGACTAAAATATGTTATAAAAATATTTAAATTTATATATCTCATATTAGAGTGGACTGAAATATGTAATGTGCATATATGGGCATATGAGACGATAATTTCACATATCATATGTGTACATTTTACACCGATGATATTTTTTAAATAAATAAAAAAATAAATAACCTTACTTTTTAAATAATCAATATAAGTATTTTTATTTGTTACATTATAACTAATATTTAATATATATGTTTTAATCTTGTAAAATATTGTTTTTTCTTTTTTTGTTCAAATTGATTAAATATAAGTTTAATGATTTTCTTTGAAACTTTGATTTTTTAAACTACTTTTTAAACATTTTCAAGTTAACTGTATTATATATAGCATTCCTAATGGTATCATTTCAGTATCAAGTCAATACTAAGTTTACTATAAGTTTAATATAGTAGGTTATAACACATATACTAAATCTATTATAAATTAATACCATTTTAGTATTATTTTAATATAGATTTAAAATTCTAATTATCATATCTTGAAATAGAATTTATAATTCTTTATTTTTTTCCTAAACTTTTTTCCAAATATTATATAATAAATAAATTGATTTAGAAGTGTTGTTATTAAAAAGTTTATAAAATTGAATTCTTTAAATATATTATACTTTTTATATATAATTGTCAATTATTTATTAAGAATCTTGATAAAAATATTTGTATGTCATTTCCAATAGAATTATTGATCTAAAGTTACTAAACTCTTATTATTATTATTTTTTTTAAAAAATAGAATATAGAAAACTATTTTTTCAAAATATTAATATTTGTTTTTAATTAAAAAACATGCTAAAAAGGTTATATAAAATTTTTTTAGCTTGAGATTCTAATTTTTTAAACATTTCATATTTGATTTTAAAAAAATTTATTATGTACTTTATTATTGAAAAAATCTTGAAAATTTTTTTTAATTCTTTTAATTAAATTTTCTCTTCTAACTTGTTATATTACTTATCTTGAATTTTATATTTGGATTTATATTATTTCTTAATTTGTTTGCTTCTTTTTTTTTAGTAAACATGTTTTTCTTAATAAATACTTAAAATTATATATATTCTTCTATTTGTTATAATATTATACTTTGATTTTTTTAAGCTTAATAATTTTGTTTTTATTAATATTTGAAGATTAGTTACTAGAATTTTGACAATTTTAAATAACAAGTTATTAAATTATTATAACAATAAAAAGAATTTTATTATATTTTTTGTTATTGTAAAGATATATATATTATAGATTTTCTAGTTATATGAAATTTTAAGAAAGTATAATTGTTATTGATAACTTTTAAAAAGTTATTGTTTTAAACTTAAGCATATTATTAATTATATATAGTTTATTCTACTTAAACTCTTGTTATTTGCTCATATATGTGAAAATAATTATTTGAATTTTTTTTAAATTTTTAAATTTTTTTATTTGTTATAAAAAATATATACTTATATTATTTATATTTTATATTTTTTGGAAAACTTTCTTCTAATTGCATTTATTTTGTTAAAAATTTTCCTTTTATAATAATTTTAAGCAAGAAAAAATATTTTTTATTTTTTATTACAAGTAAACTCTAGCTCAAGAACTTAAAAATTTTCAAAACAACTAATATAATAGAATAGGTCCTCTAATCAAAGTCTACTCAAGTTTGGGAGTCTTGCTTATTCTTTGGTTGCATAAAAAAAGCTTGTAGCAGTTCTCTTTTCTTTTATTCTTTTGCACCCCTTCTTTCTTTTATTATATCACAAAAACTATCCATATTAATATCATTATATTTGTTAAATCAAATACTTTTCTAAAAATATATTTAAATAAAGTTGTTGGGTCTATTGTTTGTTTTAATACAATCTTTACATGTAATCTCATTAGGAAATTTTTTAAAATAATAAACACTGAAAATTTTTATTTCAAAAAAATTTAAAAATCTTCGAAATAATAATAATTATATTAAAATAAATAATTATTTAATAAAT